CCTTCTTGATGCGGCCCAGCAAATCACACGACTGCGGCAGCGCGGGTTCATCCCGACCAGCACGACATGACCCTGCTGCTTCTCCTTCTCCCCTTGCTTCCCCTTCCCCTGCTGCTGCTGCTGCTGTTGTTCGAGCTGTTCCAACGCGGCCAGCATGGCGTCCTTGGTTGCCCTGTGTGCCATCTGCGGTGCCCTCTTGTAGAGCGCAGACCGGAGAACGCACACGTAGAACATGGCAATCCAGTCATCCTCGATGTGGCGTTTCACTCGCTCGTCACCAGCTGCACGGATGTGTGCTGACCGCTCAGGCAGGTCCGTACGAAGAGCAACCTCAGCCGGCTTGAGTTTGGCTGCCTTCATGACATCGGCGTCGCAGCCAGACAGTTCGAAGTCGATCAGAGAGGCTTTGTCGCCGCTCACGACCACGTTGGCACAGCGAATGTCATGGTGAACGAGACCAGCCGCTGACAGGAGAAACAAGCTGTTGCAGAGCTGCGCGACGTGCTGTTCGTGAATGTGAGTGCGGGTCGACCCGAGGTGGGGCACCGCAATCATCTGCGTGCCGTTGCCACTGCTGATGATGATGTTGCTGGTGGCGGTGTTCGTGGTGCTGCTCTTGCTGTTGGTGGTGGCGGTGCTGTTGGTGGCGGGGATGCGACTGCAAGCGCGTTGCCCGTTGACGTACTTCCACATGTTTTCAATCTCTTCAGCACGCAAGTCGCCAGCACGGTGCCCAGTCTTGATGAACTTGCACACGTATCCGCTTCCTTTGTTGGCGACGGAACTGAGCACTTTCGGTGTCTCTGCTGACAGCACAGCGATAAGCACAACCAGCATCATGTGAATCACACCACACACGAGCACAGGCACGGGCGCAATTGTGCATACAACACTGCACAGTGACCGCCTTTCAACCACACACACACACACACACACACACACACACACACAGACAGAAGCAGAGAGAGGCAGAGAGGGGAGGGGGGCGGAGAGACAGGCGCATGCATGCACACACACACACACACATACAGGCGCAGGCACACACACATGCACACACCCACACATGCATGCACACACACATGCATGCACACACATGCACATACAGACGCAGACAAGCAAACAGCAAACAACACACCTTTGCCGCTGTCGGGGTTGAAGTGCAGCACATGGGGCTTCATG